GAAGGAGGAAGCTTGAGAGAGCTTTATTACTGATACAGGCCTCAGTTGACTTACATTCTCCCCAAACCTCAGATTCCAATAATAAAACCGTCATTTAAGATTTTCCCATCTGCTGCCTAATAATTTTCAGGAAACTCCTTCCTGGGTGTGCTTATTCCTCCCACAAGGGGGCAGAGCATACCTTCCAAGTCACCTCCATACATCCTCTAACACTCATCTGCCAGTTCCAGAATAATTATAAGGCAATTTTACATAGAATTAAACAAGTCACCCAAATAATCCTAGAAGAACTTGGGATGATTAAAAGAGAGAGAGAGAGAGAGAGAGACTTGTTGGAAAGTGGAAACTTTCCAAATGGAAAGTCCCAGGTCTTGTAAGCACCCAGAATTCAGTTTATGCATGCCAAACACTCCAGAGATAAGAAAGGGAGTAGTCAGGACAGCGAAAAGCTTAGAAGTAATCTTTCTCAGCATTGGCAACTTTTAAGACAGTTGGACTTCAATTTCCTGAATTCTCCAGCCAGCAGTCCACCAATCTTTAAAGCTGCCACGGGTGAGAAAGCCTAACTTGGAGGCTAAATGTCATGAAGAATGGTTAAAGAAACTGGGCACTGTTAGCCTAAAGAAAGGAAGGATAATAATAATAATGATAAAGTTGGAAGGGATCTTGGAGGTCATCGAGTCCAACCCCCTGCTCAGGCAGGAAACCCTACACCATTTCACACAAATGGCTGTCCAGTCTCTTCTTAAAAACTTCCAGCGCTGGGGCATCCACAACTTCTGGAGGCAGGTTGTTAATAATAATAGTAAAGTTGGAAGGGACCTTGGAGGTCATCTAGTCCAACCCCCTGCTCAGGCAGGAAACCCTATACCATTTCAGACAAATGGCTGTCCAGTCTCTTCTTAAAAACTTCCAGTGTTGGAGCATTCACCGCTTCTGGAGGCAGGTTGTTCCACTGGTTAATTGTTCTAACAGTCAGGAAGTTTCTCCTTAGTTCTAGGTTGCATCTCTCCTTGATGAGTTTCCATCCGTTGCTTCTTGTCCTGCGTTCAGGCGCTTTGGAGAATAGCTTGACTCCCTCTTCTTTGGGGCAGCCCCTGAGATATTGGAACACTGCTATCATGTCACTCCTGGTTCTTCTCTTCATTAAACTAGACATCCCCAATTCCATTAGACTTGAAGAGCTGCCACCAGAAAGAAAGTACGGATTTATCCTCTATAGTTCTCAAGGGTAGGACAAGAACTAATGGATGGGAGCATTAAAGGCGGAGATCCAGATTCAAAATAAGGAGATGACTTTCTGAGGGTGGATCTACAGCTGGTCCTTGACAACATCTGACACTAAGCAATATGATTATTAAGCAAGTTGTGCCTGATTTTAGTTTATTTTTGACTTTTTCACACACACACCCCAAGCTAAATAGGCAGCCATCCAGCCCTGACTGTCCTTCTTGCAAGGAGAAATGAATTTGGGAGCTGATCCTTTGACCTCTGCCTATCGCTCTCCCCTCCCGTTTTTTTTGTTTTAATTAAAATTATTTCTTAAAAAAAATCCTGCCCACCTGTGCCCCTAGCCTCAGCTACTGCTTTCCTTTTTCCTCGACCCTCAAAGATACTTGGCTTCTTGCCGTTCTTCCCTCCGTGCAATAAGACAAATCTAAAAAAAGCGATCTTAGCTCCAGGGAGCCATCACCGCATCACAATCTGGGGGTGATTTGAAGCTGCTCATCAGAACCAAATGCCTTTCCTAACCTTCGCTAGGGGTGATTTTACTGCGTGGCGGGGATAGCCCATCAAGCCTTATGGCTTAATTAAAAACAAATTCTCCAGCAGTTGCCCCCCTCCTTTTTCTCCCAGGGTTCCATAAAACCGCTGCCGCGTGGAGTGCGCCGAAATGCAAATCTGCAGGAACCACAGGCCCAATTCTTTCTCGTTCAGGGTTAAACGGGAAAGCATTTCCCATAATCTGCTCGCTGCTGGACACCCAGAGGACAGGAAAAGTAGGATACATCGTTCAGTCACGGGGTTAATTTGGGAAGAATTGAGGATTTCCTATACAGGCAATCCTTGAATTATGACCACAATCAAGCCCAAAATTTCTGTTCCTAAGTAACATAATTGTTAAGTGAATTTTGCCCCATCTTCCTGCCACCATTTTAAAGTGAATCCCTGCAGTGGTTAAGTTAGTGACACGGTTGTGTCACTAACTGTTTATGCCACATGATTTTGACAGTCTCTTAATCGCAAGCCTAACGTTCCCTCAACTTTTTATCAATGCAATTTTTCTATGTACTCCAGTGAGGATTGCACCTATATCACGGTGAGCACCGTTACAACTTTTTTAATCAATTTACCATTTTCATAGCGCTTTGTTCCTTGCAATATTTTTCCAGTTCTAATATTTAAACGGGCTAATCTGCCTGAGCTTTTAGGGTTCAAAATATCTAATCATTTTGTCATGAATTCCATTGTACAAATAAAAAAAAAACCCACGCAGGGCATAAAAATGGCTTTTTAAATAAAACAGGAGCAGGAGAGGAATACGAATTCACAAAAGAAATGTGCTTTCTTCTAGTAAGGCTAAAGTCAACAAATGTACAATAAGTGGAAATCAGCTGATGAAATATGAAACCAGGTTGAAATATTGCTTGCAAACAGGCAGGCTTTGGAAATTGATTTTGACACTGTGACAATGTTGAAAATTTACATTAGAGAAAGACATTTCATCAAGGGATAAAAGCCACAAAGCTTTTGAACTCTCTAAGCAGACTCCTACCATTCCTTAGCAACCTCCATTTCTTGAAGCAGCTAGTTCCGTCAAACATTATCTAGATCTTTCAGGGGAAAAAAAAAACCCTCAGAAACTATTTTAAACCAATTTAGTATCTTCCCTACCATTAACTTTAGGGAGGGGGGAAATGGTGTTTCCCCCATCCCATGTTATGTTCGGTTTTGACTTTTGCGTGTTCACAGTCGGGAATGGAGAATAACAAAGTTGGAAGGGATCTTGGAGGCCATCTAGTCCAACCCCCTGCTCAGGCAGGAAACCCTATACTATTTCAGACAAATGGTTATCCAGTCTCTTCTTAAAAACCTCCAGTGTTGGAGCAGCCACAACTTCTGGAGGCAGGTTGTTCCACTAGTTCATTGTTCTAACTGTCAGGAAAAAAGAGAAGAGGTGGAGAGGACACCACTTTAAAAAAAAAAAACATTTTATTCAGTTTTATAGGGTTAGGGATAAAATAGGGTCAGGCTAGGGATTAAGGTTTGGGATGGGGTTGGGATCAGGATTGGAATTAGGACAGGATTGGGATCAGCATTGGGATTATTCCCCAAACATTTTCGATATTTAGCAAACAGACTATTGTCCGGTACATATGTTCAGCTAACAATAGTTGATATAGTGATAGATAACTGTAGTAAATATAATAAACAATAATCATAAACAGTATCAGTCAATCAATGCATATCAGTCTTCTTACTAGTATGTATTCAAAATAGCATATCACATTCATTTCTCACTAGTTCGTTTTCCTAACCATTGGTAAAAGTTATCCCATGTTCTAAAGTAAACTGAATCTCCTTTCTCTTTAATCTCTAAAGTCAATTCTATCCATTTCTGCACATTCTAAGATTTTCTTAATTAAAACCTCTTCAGTTGGTAAGTTTTCATTTTTTCCAATATTGGGCAAATACTATTCTCGCTGCTGTCAATACGTGCAATATTAAATATTCATTCTCCTTCTCGTGATTAGGTCCTAAGAGAGGACACCACTTCTGATGCTTGGTCTGGATTCTTCTCCTCCTTTCATCAACTGTGCAAGTTAATGACTGCTTGAGCTTATCAAGGACATCTTTTCCATTGGTTGAGATCAGATTAAGGATCTCCCCTAACTACCAGAGGGATGTTCTAAACCAGGGCTTTTCAGCCACCGGTACGGGTACCACCTGTGGTACATTGGCACCTGGCAGGTGGTATGCGACCATCCTAGAAAAGTGGTAGCGGGGGAGAGGAATGAGCTGAACCGGTGGCAGCACCGCACAAGCCTGAGCAAGAGATGGCTGGAGCTGCAGGGCTGTCAGGGCTCAGTGGAAGCGCCGGGATCAGCGCCAAGCTCCAGCTGGAGCTCAGCACTGATCCTGGTGCTTCTGCTGAGCCCAGAAGAAGCACCAATCAGCTGGAAAGCAGCACTGATCCTGGTGCTTCTGCTGAGCCCAGAAGAAGCACCGATCAGCTGGAATGTTGCAGCATCTCCACGGTCTTGTGATTTACATTCAGATGCTTGGCAACTGATTCATATTTATGACGGTCACAGTGTCCCAGGGTCATGTGAAGTGACCAAAACCTGCTGCAACCACCCAGCAAACGGGGGGAATAAAAACCCAACACCCCCCCTACCCCACCCCTGCTGCCAATCCTCAACAGAAATACTCACAACAATGGAAACCTCAGACAGGAGGAAGAGCATCATTGTACTTCGAACAGTCACTAAGCGAACTGTTGTAAGTTGAGGACTACCTGTACTTCATCACTTTTTTCCTTTTGGGGGGGGTCATCAAGTTTTTGACACCCGGCTAGGCGACTGGTGGTACAATGGGTGAAAAGGTTGAAAAGCCCTGTTCTAAACGCAGCAGAGGACAGCTGCAATCTGGGAAGCCACTCCAAGCTTCCCTTCTTTTCCGAGACCCATTCAGGAAAAACCCACACCTTTTTTTTATTATTGTTATTTTTGACTTTTGCATAGAGTTTCTCCACGCCCCCCCCCCAAGTTTTCAGGAAAAACCCACACCTTTTTTTTATTATTATTTTTCACTTTTGCATAGGGTTTCTCCGCACCTTTTATTATTATTATTATTATTGACTTTTGCATAGGGTTTCTCCGCACCTTTTTATTATTATTATTATTTTTGACTTTTGCATAGGGTTTCTCCGCCCCCCCCCCAAGTTCTTCCCACCGGAAATCTCTCGTTCTACGTAGACTTCACCACATCGCCCGTACCTTGCTGTCACAGCTTTGCCTCGACCGCACCCCGTTCATCTTTTCCGTTCTTGTTTCTCATCCGCCCTCCCCCCCCCCAAAAAAAAAAATTAAAAAAAAAATTAATCACCAGGCTCCAATTGTGCCCCTTCTGATTGGTTCCTGACTGGTTCTTCCCTTTTCTTTGACGATTGTCCTCTCCTGGTCGGGGGCGTGGCTAAGCGTGGAACGCCGAGGCTGAGCGTTCCAGAACCGGATGGTCCTGCTTCCCAGGCGCCGCGCCGATTGGTCGGCCCCGGACATCAAAGCGGGAGGGGGGGGGAATGGAATGTTGGCGAGTCCGTGCGTTCCAAAGAGACTTTCTCCCCTTCTTCACTCTTAATGCGAGTCTCGTCTCTTTCTTAGCCGCGCAGCTCGCAGAGATTTTCAATCCGAAGGGAACACACACACACACAAACACACACACACAAGCAGGGATCGACCGTGCAGCTGTCTTTGGATCGACTCCACACACACACACACACACAAGCAGGGATCGACCGTGCAGCTGTCTTTGGATCGACTCCACACACACACACACACACACAAGCAGGGATCGACCGTGCAGCTGTCTTTGGATCGACTCCACACACACACACACACACACGCAGGGATCGACCGTGCAGCTGTCTTTGGATCGACTCGGAAGTAAGCGCCGGGTTTGCTTTCCAGCAAGGTCCAGTGGAATATCCTACAATTCCAGCTTCAGGGTACCAGCGACCCTTTCTCTTCTTCTCCATTCCGGAATCGACGGGGTGGGGGGGGGGGCAGAGGATCTTTGAACTGGCCTCTGGAGAGCTCAGGGATCAAAGCGGATCGACTCGGCTTGGAGAGGAGCCAAAGGAAGTCACAAGAAGGTAGGTTGGGACTTAAAAAGTTTCGCTCCGTCGGCGATCTCCGCCCGGCGGTGTTTTGGGAAGGAAAAAGGCGCGCGAGCTCTACGGGCTTTTTTTTTTTTTTTTTTCTTACGCGAAGAAAACTTTTTAAACTTTGCGCCGCCGCTGCGAAGTTGGACTCGGGAAAAAGGAGAAACGGATTTAAGGGCGATGCATTGCAGTCCCATCCCTCCCTCTCCCCCCCCCCATACCATAATAGTTCCAACTTCACCAGATAGAATTCGTACGGGTAGCTACTGACACGTTGCAAGATTTCCCTCGTTTTCTTAGGATAGCTAAGAGAAAATGACGGGGATGGGGCGACTTGGGGGCTGCTGTGCACACGTTATGTCCCAAAGGTTTTATTTCCTTGAAGGCCATACTTGGAATCCTGCATCCAGTTTTGGTCACCACCATGTAAAAAAGATGCTGAGACTCTAGAAAGAGTGCAGAGAAGAGCAACAAAGATGATCAGGGGACTGGAGGCTAAAGCATATAAGGAACGGCTGCTGGAATTGGGTAGGTCTAGTTTAATGAAGAGAAGGACGAGGGGGGACATGATAGCAGTGTTCCAATATCTCAGGGGCTGCCCCAAAGAAGAGGGAGTCAAGCTATTCTCCAAAGCGCCTGAAGGCAGGACAAGAAGCAAACTAATCAAAGAGAGAAACAACCTAGAACTAAGGAGAAACTTCCTGACAGTTAGGACAATTAAACAGTGGAACAACCTGCCTCCAGAAGTGGTGAATGCTCCAATACTGGAAGTTTTTAAGAAGAGACTGGACAGCCATTTGTCTGAAATGGTGTAGGGTTTCCTGCCTGAGCAGGGGGTTGGACTAGATGACCTCCAAGGTCCCTTCCAACTTTATTATTATGGATCATCGCAGAGTCAACCAGATGTTCAGACTGGATTTGGCATTTTGTTTACCTATCCAATCCTTACCCAGGACCTGGGATAGGCAGATGTGGATGTTTGATGGTATTACAGATATCGTCGCAGGATGGAAGCAGTTCCTAGTAAGGCCGCCTTTTGCAATTGACTAATGGCAAATTTGTCAATGTATTATTATTATCATTATCATCATCATCATTATTATTATTACTTCTCATCCAAGCAGCTTCCTCGGTTCTGACTGAATGGGATGATCCTTCATCAGTCAGGAGGTTGCTTGGGATGAGAAGTGAAAGGTCTTCAAGGAAAAACAAAGTCCTGTTGCCTTTTGAAAAAACACCTTTGATGACAGCCGTGACCTGGATGGCTGAGAATCTGCATAGACCTTGTGCACACAGATGTTCATACAGATGTGACAGACATCTGTGAGGGATGAACAGGGTCTGGCAAATATTCTTTGACTATGAAGCATCACAAAATGGCCATTCTGTGTAGGAATTCCATAAGTTTAAAATGCTGATTTGAGAGTAAGCTTTGCTGGGGATTCTGGGAGTGGATGTCCAGGCATTTTAAATTTACAGAGGCTGAGAAACAAGCAAGCATTGGAGCCGAGCTAGAGCTGCCGTTCAGTTAGAGAATGAAATTAAATCGCATAATAGAGTGCAGAATATTCTTCATAGCTCATTTCAGGTTTAGCATTACAGCCAGCCTATCCTTTCCAAGGGAATTTGGAAATTGGGGTGCTGTTATTTAAAAAAGACCTTCTGAATGTTTTTCTCCACCTAGGTTCTCATTGTACTGAGGAAAACCACACTTATAGAAAAGTTTAATAGGTTTACAGTATGACTGTTGAAATATGCTGAATGCCAAGAGTTTGGCAGTTCAATTCACATTGGCTCAAGGTTGACTCAGCCTTCCATCCTTCCATGGTCAGTAAAATGAAGACTCAGATTGTTTGGGGGGTTGTAGGCTGACTCTGTAAATTGCTTAAGGGGGGGGGGCTGTAAAGCACTGTGAAGCGGTATATAAGTCTAAGTGCTAGTGCTATTGTCCTTCCTCCCATCCATCCTTCCTTCCTTCTGATTAGAACGCAGTATTGCAGGCTGATTCTGCCCACAGTCTAGAGTTTGATCCTGACCATCTCAAGGTTGACTCAGCCTTCCATCCTTACGAGGTCAGTAAAATGGGACCCAGATTGTTGGGGGCAAATAGGCTGACTCTGTAAACCGCTTAAAGAGGGCTGCAAAGCACTGTGAAGCGGTATATAAGTCAAAGTGCTACCGCGATCTTGGTCCAAATAATGGAAGATAATGTTTCCCATCCTCAGGCTCCTGTAGTTTCTACGTCCATAATCCTTATACGTGAAGAGTGCTGGCTAGTAATTATGGGAACTGAAGTTTGGAGGTTGAAAATGGTTGTTTGAGAGATGGTTAGTTAGGACTTCTCTGCCTGAGTCACACAACAGCCTGAGTCACATAAAGATGGGTTTCTACATCTAACCTTCCCATCAGACTCCTTCCTAGCCAAGTGCCAAAATGCTGTTTTAAAGGCCCAGAGCATCGCCAGCAAAACAGGAAGGAGCAGAACAAGTAATAAAGGCTTCAGCAGCCACCCTGTTGAGGTCGAGAGTTAATTTAATGGGTTCCCGACAACCTGTGACCCATTGGGTCATTATAAAGAGGAAATTTCTGACAGTGAGAACAAATAACCGGGGGAATAGCTTAGCCTTCAGAAACTGGGGGAGCTTCATCACTGGAAACATTCAAGAAGAGACTGGACTGCCATCTTTCAGAAATGGTGTATGGTCTCCTGCTTCGGCAGGAGATGACTACAAGGTCCTTTCCAACTCTGTTATTCTATTCTATTCTATTCTATTCTATTCTATTCTATTCTATTCTATTCTATTCTATTCTATTCTATTCTTCTGCATTCTATTTCTAATTCTATTCTATTCTATATTCTATTCCAGTGTTTCCAAACTTGACAATTTTAAGGCATGAGGACTTCAACTCCCAGAATTCCACAGCCAGCAATGCTGGCTGTGGAATTCTGGGAGTTGAAGTCCACATGCCTTAAAATTGTCAAGTTTGGGAAACACTGTTCTATTCTATTCTATATTCTATTCTGTTCTATATTGTATTCTATTCTATATTCTATTCTACATTCTATTCTATTATTCTATTCTGTTCTATTCTATTCTATTCTACTCTACTCTACTTCTATTCTATTCTATTCTTTCTATTCTATTCTACTCTACTTTCTATTCTATTCTATTCTATTCTATTCTATTCTATTTCTTCTGCATTCTATTTCTAATTCTATTCTATTCTATTCTATTCTATATTCTATTCTATATTCTATTCTATATTCTATTCTATTCTGTATTCTATTCTATTATTCTATTCTGTTCTATTCTATTCTATTCTACTCTACTCTACTTCTATTCTATTCTTTCTATTCTACTCTACTCTACTTTACTCTACTCTATTCTGTATTTACCCGAACAGAGAAAGAAAAATTAACACAGGAAGGCAAAAAAGCAGGACTGACGTCCGGCTTCCAACCGGCTTCCCCATTGACTTTCCTTGTAGGAAAATGGCAGGGAGCATTGGAAATGACAACCCACTGGCCCCAGTAGTTCAGCAGCCACAACTTTGCCAAATTTGAACCCCATGGGAGTCATGGGTCCTGGATTTGGGATGCATTCATTCTTTAAGTTAGTCCATTTAAGGCAGGGGCTCTGAACCAGGGGTGCGAGACGATATTCCAGGGGGTGCGAAAACTTGGATTTTCAAAATTATAGCGTCTATGCATAATTTGTTGCCGTTATTTTGAACTTTGGTAAGGGGTGCGAGGATATATAAGAAGCGTTCTAGGGCTGCGGGGCATAGAAAAGGTTGGGAGCCGCTGATTTAAGGTATACAGTATTCATTCAAAAATGGTTGCCCTATGATATATCATTTCACCCAACTGAAGGTTACAAACAACCAAACAGACATGACAATGTTAACAGTATATAGATATTGTGAACAAGAGAGCCTGCTTTGTTAGATGCATTCTTCGGTTGGCAGAGAGTCGTAAGCAACAAGAGAGTAGGATGAGAATGGCATGCAGTGGTTGAGTTGACTGTGAGATGAAAAAGTGTCAGCTAATGGAAGGTGGACAAAGTAATGGGTTTTGCGTAACTCTGACAGGAGGGGATTAAAATCCATTGTCCTGCAAGTCTGAGCTATGAGGATAAGAACCCTTAGCTTTTCTGCCTCTAATTCCCTCTAATGTTCCTATTATTTTGAAATAATGGCACAAATAGATAGGCCTCCACAGCAAGGAGTTTTATAAAGAGTTGGGGCCATCCGAAAAAAGAAGATTTTTGCAGGCTTCTTCTTCTTTGCAAGTTTTATCTCTGAGCAGTCACAAATCGTCTGCAGAAGTTAACCCTGGGAAACCCAGTGGCTCCCATCTGTGGCAGCAAAAAACCCTGGAGAAGCAGCTCCTTAGGGACAACACTAAATGTAAACCTTTCCCCATTTTATTTTAGTCGCATTTGGCTCATGAAATATCTTCAGAAGCTAGCAGAATTACAGAACAGAGAGAAAGGGATTCCCCATCTCCCCTTGGAAGCTGGAGTGATAGATACTCTTAGTCATCTGCCCAAGTGACACGTAGAGTGGCTTCATTTCTTGATTCGTCATCTGATTTCTAAGCTAAGAGCACATCACCCTTTTCTCTGGAATTAAATTGGGGATCTTTAGGTTGAGCAAGAGAACCAAGGATTTGTTCAGGCTTTCATTTCTGAGTTGGCTTCTTGCACAGGGCGTGCTTCAAGCTGGGCTTTCAGGTCAGCTGAGAGGAGTCTTCGGGCTATTCTCTTGTGGCTTCTTTAGGACTGCGAGACAATTCCTCCCAGAGGCATTCAAGCACGCAATTTGTTGCTGTGTGCTAGGCACAAAACTTATGCCTCCCCGGAGTCTCTTCCTTTTTACAGCACGTTTCTGGATTTTATGGACTGAAGGCAACATGGACAGTTTTTGGAGCATGCCAGGACCTAAACAAAGATTTTAAAAAGTCTCTGCAGAGAGATTGTGGTTGTGGG